GAGGCGGGTGGATCACAAAGTCAGGAGTTCAAGACCAGCCTAGCCAACATGGTCAAACCCCGTTTCTACTAAAGATACAAAAAATTAGCTGGGCATGGTGGCACACACCTGTAATCCCAGCTACTCAGGAGGCTGAGGCAGGAGAATCACCTGAACCCAAGAGGCGGAGGTTTCAGTGAGCTGAGATCATGCCATTGCACTCCAGCCTGGGCAACAGGGCGAGACTCCATCTCAAAAAAATAAAATAAAATAAATAAAAATGAAAAAAGAAATAAAGGAAGCCATGATGGCAATGTCATACAGAGAATTTGAATGAAGATACATTTTTAAAATAAATAAAAAATTTTGAAATTGAAAAGTACAATACACAAAATGTAGAATTCATGATGGGGCTTAATAATATATTTGAACTGCCAGGATAAAATCAATGAATTTGAAGATAAACAAGGAATACATAAAAAAATGAATGAAGGAAAAATGAATGGAGCCTCAGGGAAATGTGGGACATCATTAAACATATCAACATACGCATAATGGATACCAAAGTATACATGCTAACATATGTGTAATGCAATATGCATAATAAACCACAGTGAAATAAACAGTTGACTTTTCACCAGAAACAATGAAAGTCAGAAAGCAGTAGGATGACATATTGAAAGTGCTGAAAGTAAAACAACAAAAAACCATCAACCAATGCAGAACGATTCTACAGATGACTATGACCAACTGAGTCCTCCCCATTTTCTTCCTTGCCATTCTCAATAATGACTGCAAAATGTGCTGGAAATGCAACATCATGAGATAGGAGGAAAGGGCAGAAACAACCTGGACTCGGTTGCAGTCCCTGCCTTGTAGTATGATGTGATGACTGAAATGTAGAACTTGTTGTGATGATTGAACTGCAGAACTTGTTCAGTGCATCATGTGCCCAGGTATAAAATCCAGGGTGGGCTGCTTTCCTGGGTGCCTCAGCCATGTTGCATGCACAGACAAGACTTCATCCACTCAGACAGCTGTATTGAGCCTTGTGTACCAGCCTGTGATTATTCCTAGACTTCTGCTGTCCCTTGTTGCCCTACCTATCTCTAAGTAAGAAACCCACTTCATGTAACTTGTGTGTGGGGGTTGCTGTCTCACCAAACTCAGACAAGCTGCTAACCTCTGCACAGTGAACCCTCTTCCAAAGCCAATAATCTCTATCCAGTAAATCAGAACCACAATGGATACTCCTTCATACTCACTGGGATGGCTATTTAAAAACAGAGAACAATAACAAGGTTTGGCAAGAATGTGGAGAAACAGGAACCTTCAGACATTACTGGGACAATATAAAATGGTTCAACTAATATGAAAAACAGTTTGAAAATTCCTCAAAATGTTAAGTGTAGAGTTTCCATATGCCCCAGAAATTACACTCCTAGGTATTTACCCAAGAGAAATGAAAACACATATTCATACAAAATCCTGTACACAAATGTTCATAGCAGCATTATTCACAGTAGCCAAAAAAAGTAAAACAATAATGTCCATCAACTGATAAATAGATAAATAAAATATGTGGTATACTTTAGCAACAAAAAAGGATAAAGTACTGATATGTGCTGCAACATGGATGAATCTTGGACACATTACGCTAAGTGAAAGGAGTCAGTCACAAAGGTCACACAGTGTATGCTTCTATTTATAATCAACGGCCAGGTTAGGCAAACCTATACTGTCTAGGATGGGAACAGGGAGATTAGGGGAAGGAGAACTGACCATAAGAGGTTTATTTTTGAGGTGATGCAAATGTCTCCAATTAGACACTAGTGATATTTGCACATTTCTGTGAATATACTAAAAACTACTGAATTATACAATTTAAAGGATGAAACTCTATTAAACAAATAGAGCTAATTAACTCTTTAAGGAGTGAGTTACATCTCAATAAAATTGTTTTTAAAATAGTACCTATTTCTTCGACTTATCTCCAAGCTAAGTGAGATAACCATTGTAAAGCTATTAGCAAAGTATAACATTCAATAAGTTATTACTGTTCTTTGTGCTATTGCCATGGTCATCATTGTCTCTTACTTATAACTAGCCCTCTAAGTCTATCCATTATTTAACCAAGTACTAGAAAGTACCTACTGAGTGACACACATTTATGTGCTTGTGGTTGGTGACCACAAACAGATCTGTAACAACAATTTGGTAGAGACATAAATACAACAGGGATCCTTTTTCCAAAAATTACCCTTATTTAACTAAATAAGAAATATTTTAAGTCAAGATACTTGGTGGCAATACCAGGGTAAACTCTAGAAATAATTTTAGGGTTTACAGATCTCATTGAATATATTATACTTGGGTTTAATATGCAAATATTAAGGTCTTAACGTTTATAGGTGATGTTAACAGGATGTGAGCTTGGCAGATGCCAGCAGTCTTCTCCAGGACTGCTTGTTACTCCTTCATTTATGGGCATCACATTCTAATTTTACTATGGACTTGGTTTCTGGATAGTTTCCAAAATCCTATCCTGACACTCTCCACCTACCAGCAAGGCATGCAGAGGCATCCTCCTCTGGGTTCTTCTGGCTCCCATGTCTGTCCCTGTTTCCTCCCCCTGTAGGGGACTTGCCTGTGTCCTGCCTCTCTCGTTAGACAATAAACTCCTGAGGCCCAGGTCTGCTGGGCTGCAGCCATATGCAATTTTCAAGGTCATTCTGTACTCAAATTGTCATTGTGAACATGAGATTTAGTGTACTATGTTTGTTTAGTTTTTCCTTTCTTCTTTGTGAATATTTATTTACTATAGATAGGATAACACCTCAATGATTCACTTTCATGCTATTCCTCAAACCAATCATTAGTGGACACCAGCAAAATCCTTCCAAATGCAGAGTCTGAGAATCAGGGTGAAAAACTATATATCAGTTTGGAAATTGCATTGTCTTACAACAGTAAACCATTTTCTCTAATTAAATGACACAAGATATTATGTGAGAATTAAACAATATATTTTTAAACCCGAAAGTAATGTTCTTATCCTACAAATTAAATAGATAGAACGGAATATAGAGCATTTCCTGCTAGAAGAGATCTTTTCAAAGTGATGGCCTCTGGGCTCTGCAAAGATACCTAAATAAGAACAGGGCTCTTTCCAATGCCTTTGATTTATCCTGTCTTATGACGAAAATCCTCAACCTCACACTCTTAAGTCTGGTTGAGGTCACATTCGTAGTGACCATCTGTGGACAAAATATCAGTAAAGCTGGACTACAGGTATTTGGAAGATTAATGGAGAAGACATAAATTTCTCTTCCAGCAGCTACAGTATCAGATACCACTGTTTATTATCCAGAGAAGTATTTTTTTCTGTTATTTATAATTTCTTTATCTTTCATTATAATTATACACTTACTTTACTGTTAACTTTTCCTGTTAACTCTGATCAAGCTCAAAAAGCGCCAGAAATCTCAAGCTATTGCAAGCACCTCGATTCAGGGAACAGACTCCAGGGCACAGCTCAGCCACCCTGGCTCAGGGAGATCCAGGGGCCTCAGGAAGCTTGCATCCCTGCGGGGTTAGCAAGAAGTACCTCACCAATTTCCACAACCAAATCCAAAATTACCCAAGGGTAAAGGGCACGGCACACCTCGTTGCCACACAGATGGCTTCCATTTCTGGCTTAAGCCCTTGTGAAAGAAAACCAAGGAAGATGTATCTTCATTTTGTGCATTTCCTGAAGAGTTCTAGTCCGTTAAGGAAGACTTATTTTTCTTGGGAGAGTGTGAAAGAAATCAGCCCCATTGTCTTCATGCTTAACAAGAGCGCCAAATAACCACCACCCTATCCCTAGCAACTCAACCCAAAAGTTTCTTATGAGTGAAATAGCAATGAGATCAACTCATATCAAATTTCCCTAAAAAGCAGAATGTTCACATTAAAAACAATTTTTTTACAGGATTTTTTTACAGGATTTAGCATTTACATATATTTAGTATTTTAAGGAATTGGTTATGAATTCAGCATCCAAAATTCACACACACAAAATCTTTATGAGATGTGGGGTCTGAATTCCCTCTCCTCAAAGAGGGAAGGAAATTTAAACACACTGAAAGCTTTTTCTAGAAAAGCAATAAATGTCCCAGACCTGTTAGCTAAACCCTTAACATCCTCAAGACCTTGAACCTTGAACACATTTTCACTCTGCTGTCTAAGTCACACTTCGCTCCTCTGCACCTGAGCAATTCATTTGTTGCCAAGAATCTAAGAATCTCCTAAGATTTTTCTCCCTAAATATATGAAAATATTTTAAGAAAAGTAAAAAGCAAGCCATTGAGATTTTGACTTGGGTAGGCCTGAGGGATGCAGGTAGATTCTTAGCTCAGCCAGATGCCCCCCTCTCTAGGGTCCCTGAACATCGCAGCACCAGAAGCATCGAAGTGATGTGCCATTCCAAACCCGATATGCAGGACACGGGGAATGCACCCTGGATTCATCAGTCCAGGAAGACCAACAACGCCCTGCCATGGATGAATGCCCTAATGTGTAAGCAGATTATCATCATCAGAATGATAGATGTACAGTATTCACAGTCTTTCAAATATCTGATCAAATAATCCTCACGGCCAATCTCTTGAATACTGTTGTTCTATTCCAAATGAAGACATTTCTCCAGTTTCTGTCAGTTAGAAGCTGTAAGTTGGAGTAAAAACATCCCCTAAGAAGCTAAAGAATTCAGATTTGGCCAGAGGTTCTTATACACAATTTTCAAACTGAAGTGCTCTCCACAATAATTCTAGAACAGCAGCAGCAGGGTGGGTGTGCGCACTGTTTCCAAATAGGCCAGAGGAGGCGCACAATGTTTTTTGGAAAGTTTTACTTGGCAATATTCCTCCTGCTTAATCTGTGCTGCAGTACAAGAAGAACTCGAGGGAAAGTCCTGGTTACACTCTCCTTTCCACCATCACCAACCTCGCCTCCCTAGCTGGGACTCGCACTGTACTCACCAAGCCTTGGCAGGTTGAAAGGGCCACTGAGGAGTTTCTGTGAGATCGCAAAGAGCCTTGATAGAAACAGAAGTCCTCTGGCGGTAAAGTCTGCACAGACTTAGTGCCTGTCTTTCCCAACGTCTGCACAATAAAGCCGGGAGCCACCAGGCTGCTGGAAGTCCTCAAATCCATGTGGAAGTCATGCCTGGAGCCTTTCAGTCGAAGGTGAAGAGACTCAACCCCTGACATGGTCACTGCTCTTCGCCGCCGTTGATGGTGCATGATTTCGTGGGACACGTAATCGCCCCTGTGGTCAACCTCGTAGGCAGAGACCAGGTCATATTCTGGAATCAAAAGAGTGAGGAGAGGCTGAGTCATTTCAGGATACCGAGAAGAATCAGGAAGTCTTAAGATATAATATTATTTTACCACATGATCTTTCCACCCAGTCAAAAATGATGAAGAAAAATGCAACACCTACCCATACTGAATTCAAAGTGTGGAATACGGAACATCACAGTTTCAAGAAAAAAATGGTAACAAAGTCCCCATGATGTGCTATTCCCAAGCCAGGAAATCCTACGACACTTAAAATGGAAAGCAAATTATTGATCAAATAAAACCAAAACCGAACTTTTAGGATTGCATTTCATAAATTGTACTAATAACTAACAAATACAATCATTTTATAGTTTTCAAACATACCTTCAGTCACGTTATTTCTGTTTCTCACTGAGCTGATAAGAAATTTTACCTTGAAAACACCCAGAATTTTTCAAAAAGCAGTTAAAAATAAAAATATGATAGGCACACTTTTCTGCTAATTTTCTAAAATGTTTATTCATGATATCATGGAACACAGAAGAGAAAAGGCAGGATGCACACATGGTCCAGGTCTGCCAAACGTTGACATTTGGAAATGGTCACGTGTGCATTTGTTCCTGATAAAAACCGTCGGTGACCCTGCCATTGGCCTGGGTTCTTGGGACTTGATCAGGTTTCACATCAAGCCCTTCTGAAGACATGCACCACGTTCATCTTCCCACTGAAAGGTAGCATATGCTGGTCTCAGTCATATTCAAGGAAGTTATTTCTTTTAAAAAAGTAAAGAAAACCCCAAGGAGCTGTCAAATTTCAGGGGACCATGTAGGTCTGCAGGGCTGTAGTCAGAGGCGATCTTTCCAGGAAAGCATTCGGTGTTCACTGGGTCACCACCTTCTCAGCAGAAAACAGAGGGACACCCTGAAGCTCCACCAGCATCCTGGGCAGTGGTCCTGGGCTGCTTTTCTGTAAATACCGTAGTTGTCTTCTCCAAGGAGGTTTCTCTCCTTCTCGAAAATGGTCATTGAGTTTTCATGGTTACAAGTAGGATTTGTTATCTCATTACCACCGTAACAATATCATCTCTGCTCTCCACAGTTCAGGGGGAGGGTGTTTCTGTCCTAGACAGGCCAGAACTTGGATGGGAGGAGAAGGAGTAGTGCCTGCCCCGGCCAGATGTTGCTGCGTGCCACCTTCTCAACTTAGACCTGGGCTTTTAGGTTATGTGAAGGTAACTTTATTAAAATACTTTTTTGTTAATGATTTGTTAGCTTGTTTTATACCTATTAAATACTTACGCATTGGTATGTGTGCCTCCAACTGTAGGCGAGCACTGGGCTTCCACATGTTAGGAGAGGGCCTGCACCCTGGCCTGCATTTTGCTAATCATGAGAAAATAACAGCTCAGCATGATGCCAACACTTTCTCCAAACTTATGCTGAGATGTCTTTGAAAAGGTCAGAGTCAGGCACCAGAGCTGATCTCTCTCTAGCGTAATGATGAGGAGGTCAGTCCTCAGAGACTCAAAAGTGCAGCTTCCTCTTACTAGTTTAAGACCCTGGTTCTAATGTTCTGTTTCTTCCCCTTTATCACCAACATGTGCTGTTAGGAGACTCTTCTGTCAGGTGCTTCATAATCAGGGCCCTTCTATGCTTTGGCCTGAGTTGGACAGGTTTTTTGGAATAATAGGATAATATAAAATAGCATCCTGCACAAGGGGCATTTGGTTAGAAGTGAACAGTACTTGGTCAATCATATTTTTCTGGAAAAAGAAAGTTTTCCTTATAACTAAAACTCTTTCAATGCAGATACTTGTCCACCCAATTCTGTCCTATCCTGGCAGGAAATTGGGTGGTTACAGAGAAAGAGAGAGAGGTAGCAGCTAGTGGGAAGTCTGAAAGGCCGGCGTTTGGGCTTGAGAGAAGTGAAGGAGGCCAGGATGGATGGCAAGTGTGCACACAGCTATGGACAGGTACTCTGAGGGTAGCTGGCTGAGGGGCACAGCATGTTCCGGCAGACAACTTGACAACTAACCATTGAGATTTACAGCAAAGTCAGTAACTTGTGGCCTCATAGGTAAAATACACTGGAATTATTTAAAATTTAATTAGGAAAATGAGAAAGCCAAAAAATCTGGTGACAATGTATCCAATGATAGAAAAGGGAGAGCACAGCAGCAAGCAGCATGTCTGGCACAGGTATGTAGATTCCAGTCTGGATTTGAGCCACTCACAAACACAAGAGTGAAACGTGCACACCTGTTTGCTTTGCATTTCCCCAGGCCACTCTCCCAGCAGTGAGACTTCTGCCTCTCTTATGCCTGGGTCTCTGGACAGAGGGGAAAGGCCAGCGTGATGCAGGGATGTTAACAGCTGTCATCTGCCGTCCCAACCACTCAGGGGCATGCTCCTCACCTCCCACCAGCTCCTACCACTGTAGCTGAAGCAAGGGAAGGATGACAGAAGGCAGGATGGCTTGTTCCAGACAGTGGCAGGTCAGCACATTTTATTGTGTATAAAAAGGTGATTACTCTTTAAAAAATCAAATTATTCTCAGATGAAATAAGCCATATTCTTAAGACCTTTATTTTGGAGAGAGACAATAGTTGTCCTTTACTGGGGGCTCATATAATATTTACCATGCAAAATAACTACTGATAAGCCACTTTTACATAAACACAAGGCTGTGCTAATAAACATTCAACAACCCGCTGTCTGGAGAAGAATGACCTGGATTTTGGCATTTGCCAATTTCCCTGGTGTAAATCTTCCCCCCCATGGCTGATTTCAATGACTGCTGTGCCATCACTGAATATGCAGTGTGCAGAGATACCCAGCAGCCCCCACTGTGTAGGATTTCTGCCATACAGATGCAAAAGAGGCCAGTGGTCTCAAGAGCCTAGATTATTAGCAAATATAGTGAAATAATTATGAAATGATGAGTTTTGAGCATTGCAATGTTTTTAATATAATTAATTTCACTGTAAATTTATGTATTTTAATTATTTTCACAGGGATTGGTGTCGTTATTAATACAGTATTTTTTCCATAGATGGGAAAGACATATTTGAAAGACTTCAAACACAATAATCTTGCAAGAAGAAAAGTTTGTCCTATCTAAAAACTCATATATACAAGTGGTAGGTTCATAACCTCAACGTTCAGGCAAACTGAACTCCAAGAAGTCCTGCAAGGCTCCCGTGAGGTCCTGATTGTCCTGGGAGAGCTCAATTCCAAGAGGCTGTGGGAGACGGCCAGAGCTCCACACCTCGCCCACCCGACAGGAGCATTTCCCATAGGCTCCACCCTTCCCACTCTTTCCACAGTTGGCTGCTTAGATGGCACCTGACTGCAACTTGCTCCAGACTCAAAGACTGAGCCTGTAACTGTCCAAGAGCAAAGGAATGTTCACAAGCACCATAAGAGGATAGCAGGGAAGGAGAATCCAGAAAACAGAGAGAAGGGTGGGGCAGGTGGCAGGAGATATATTGCCTTCTAAATAGAAATCAATCGCATTAACAAAAAATCAGTCCACCACCAGCCACCTCTTTCAAACATTGCTGATGTCAGGAAAGAAAAACGACACTACCTTCCTGAAGTCTGCTTTGGCAATGAGTTGCAAAAGCCTTCGGCCTAGGAAATCACCCTGAGGAAATAATCTCAGATGAATTTTAAAAAGTTTATGTAAATATTTTCATGGAAGCATTATTTGTAATGAGGCAAAATTTTAAACAAGAATAAACAACAGATACTTGGTAACTACATTATAGTAAAGTCATAGAAAGGAATACCTTAAAACTCGTAAAAAATATACTCTAAAAGAATGAAATCTAAAAGATTATTTCACCACATGAGGCAAAGTTCATAATATAATGAGCTTTCAAAGTACGTTGTAAGCTCTGAAGCCAAAGTGACCTTTTAAAAGAAAAAAACAATGTAGCCTGTAAGGAACACAAGGTGATAAGTAAATTCTTGTAGATCATCTGGACAAAATGCAGAAGGTAAATAATAAAGGTAGAGGGTGGTAGGAAGAGAAACTAGCACAATTCTATTTTATATTCTCTGCACTGTTATTATGTTCACTAGTGAGCATGTGACCACTGATTTTTTTATTATACTTTAAGTTCTGGGATACATGTGCAGAACGTGCAGGTTTGTTACATAGGTATATACGTACCATGGTGGTTTGCTGCACCCATCAACCTGTCATCTACATTAGGTATTTCTCCTAATGCTATCCCTCCCCTTGCCCCTCACCCCCCAACAGGCCCCAGTGGGTGATGTTCCTTTCCCTGTGCCTATATGTTCTCAGTGTTCAACTCCCACTTAGTGAGAACATGTGGTGTTTGGCTTTTTGTTCCTGTGTTAGTTTGCTGAGAATGATGGTTTCCAGCTTCATCCATGTCCCTGCAAAGGACAAGAACTCATTCTTTTTTTATGGCTACATGGAATTCCATGGTGTATATGTGCCACATTTTCTTTATTCAGTCTATCATTGATGGGTATTTGGGTTGGTTCCAAGTCTTTGCTATTGTGAACAGTGCTGCAATAAACATACATGTGAATGTGTCTTTACAGTAGAATGATTTATAATTCTCTGGGTATATACCCAGTAATGGGATTGCTGGGTCAAATGGTAATTCTCATTCTAGTTCCTTGAGGAATCACCACACTGTCTTCTACAATGGTTGAAATAATTTACACTCCCACCAACAGTGTAAAAGTGTTCCTATTTCTCCACATCCTCTCCAGCATCTGTTGTTTCCTGACTTTTTAAAGATGGCCATTCTAAATGGTGTGAGATGGTATCTCATTGTTATTTTGATTTGCATTTCTCTAATGACCCGTGATGATGAGCTTTTTTTCTTATGTTTGTTGGCTGCATAAATGTCTTCTTTTGAAAATTATCTGTTTATATATTTCACCCATTTTTTGATGGGGTTGTTTGTGTTTTTCTTCTAAATTTGTTTAAGTTTCTTGTAGATTCTGGATATTAGCCCATTGTCAGATGGATAGATTACAAACATTTTCTCTTGTTCTGTAGGTTGCCTGTTCAATCTGATGACAGTTTCTTTTGCTGTGCAGAAGCTCTTTAGTTTAATTAGATCTTATTTGTCAGTTGTGGCTTTTGTTGCAATTGCTCTTGGTTTTAGGTCTCACATTTAAATCTTTAATCCATCTTGAGTTAGTTTCTGTGTAAGATGTAAGGAAGGGTCCAGTTTCGGTTTTCTTCATATGGCTAGCCAATTTTTGCAGCACCATTTATTAAATAGGGAATCCTTTCCCCATTGCCTGTTTTTGTCAGATGTGTCAAAGATCAGGTGGTTGTAGATGCGTGGTGTTATTTCTGAGGTCTCTGTTCTGTTCTATTGATCTATATATCTGTTTTGGTACCAGTACCATGCTGTTTTGGTTACTGTAGCCTTGTAGCATAGTTTGAAGTCAGATAGTGTGACACATCCAGCTTTGTTCTCTTTGCTATTTTGTAATTACTTCAGCCACCAAGAACAATTTGCAATAATAGTTTGAGTCAATGTGCCTCTTTAAACAAAATGTATGGCTACAATTAGTTATTTCAGAACCAACTTGTCTAATGGATACCTAGACAGGTGACAGTAAGCTGACCCCAGCAGTCACCAAGGATCTTCTAGCTCTTCTGCTCCAGGTCAGAGGGAAACAGGCAACACTGTTGAGCAGGATCTTTTCTCTGGTGGCATAGAAGCTTGTTGTGGATGTCCAGACTCACACGTTAGCCTTTCATAATTAAGGAGCTAAAGTGCATAGACGGTAGGGGAGGAGGGTGTGCTGTGTTCACTGGGCTAGAACTTCACTAAGAAGGGTTCGGTTCTTTCCCTTCAGGTTCTCACCAAGCCAGGTAAGTCGTTGTCATGGAGATGTGACAATAGCCGAGGTGCCAGGTGTTCAGAGCAGCACGCTGACACACCACTCCCAGAGAGGATGCTGAAGCGGATTGAATCGCTTCAAGGGAAAAGCACAATTAGGCAGGAAGCCCTGGCTTTTATTCTTCTTTCTTCTGTGTCTATAATGTGCTTTATCTTAAACAAAACTTCATAAATTCAATAAACTAAAGTATTGTGGAAATCTCCTGAGTCCCTCTGGAATTTTCATGATTTTAGGGAACTAGAATTTTTTTTTTTTTTTTTTTTTTACAAAAATCTTACTTAAAAAGGTGAATTAGAATTAACTTTTAAAACTGTAAGAATTAACTTTTAGTATTGTAAGCAAAACGCTAAAAGGAACAAGGACAACCAAAAGAAGATAGTCTGTAAATGGACAGATAATTAACTTTCTCTTGGAAATTCACCATGACAATTTTTTTAACATTTTATATCATTTGCACCTAGCGCCCCCTGGTGGTTCTCAAAAAAGTCCTATGGTGAGCGTCAATCTGATATTGGTCACCTTATGTACTATTTGTATAATCATTCGGTAGGGAAGAATTTGAAAAGTTAATGCATATACTAAATTCTTGCCTTTATGTTATTTTATCAAATTGAAGTAACTATACTGAGAAATTCTGAATTATTAACTAATTTTCTAGATCTGGGAATATATTGAGAGAATCAAATCTAGTTCTTCCTATAAAAGTCAATTAATATTAATATTTGATATGGCAATTTATTGTTGGTAACAATGCAAAATAATATTTATTAACTGTCATTAGATGGGTTCAGGTTAAAAAAACCACCCAGCAACCAGTGTGACACACCTGTTTTCTCATCTACCTGATGCAGTATGAAGACACGGAGATCCCTTCCCATAAGACAGCACATTTGCAAATGTCACTTGTAAGTGGCAGAAGTAAAAGCATGCATTGAAAAAGAATAAGACTTGTCCCCATGTCACACTGTGGCCCAGGACATGAACGTTGCTGATGGTGTCACAATAAGCCGATAAGCCATTTCGGGCACTATTATGTTTGAAGTACTCCCTGATTGTTGGAGCATTAAATTTAGTATTGAGATGCTAAGCACTTGTTTTACCTCCTTCACTGAGAATAAGCAACGATAGAGAAATACTTTAATTTATAAAGGAGGAGAAAGAGGGGTTGGGGAGGGGAAGGAGGATCCGAGGATGTAGGAGGGGATGGAAAAGGGAGTAATTTGCTCTTTATGACGGCTTTGATGCATACAGATAGCTTTAGATTCTTCCTAAGCAATTTAGAATAAAATAAAATGAACTTCCTCACCTTTTCCCTAATGTTATACCAATAACTCTGGCAAACCGTTTTGCCAGGGAATGAAATATAAATATTGGTGGAAGTCCACTCATCGGTGCTCGCTCATACAGTTAAAAAAAAAGTGCACAACAGCATCTTAAAAGTAGGGGTCCACAGAGTCATGAACATTCACAGCACCTAATAAACCAGCGGCGCGGGGATTACGAGCTGCTAAATGGCAAGGATTAGAAGCCCCCACCTCACTGACTTACCGCCCTTTTCCATCCAGCCTGGCCGCTCCGCGGGTGGAGGAGGACGCGGGACGCTGGGGCTCCCAGGCGCTGCCGCTGCGGGTCCCATGGCGCACGCAGGTGCCTGCGGAAAACAGCGGCGACACCGCAGTGAGACGGCGGGGGCCGCGGGAGAGGAGCCGCGGGGGACTCGCCTCCTGCTGTCAGGACCCGCGGTTTCCGCGCGCTGCCGGGAGCGCCCGGGACTCACCTGTTCGGCCACCTGCGCCAGCAGCAGCCACAACGCCGCGCAGCCCCGCCATCCGCGCGCGCGGGGCTTCATCCAGGAGCGCTCCGAGGGGCTAGGGGCCACCGGAGGTCCCCGGCCGGCAGCGTGCGAGCGGGCAGGGAGCACCCGACCCAGGCAGAGCGCGGGAGGATTCCCCACAGCGACTCCGCCGCCGCGCCGGGGTTATTACTGGGACTCCGCGCGGCGCGGGGGGCGGAGTGGCAGCCGCGGCGGCGGGGGCGGCGGGAGCCGTGGGAGAGCGGGGGGCGGGCAGGGGAGAGAGGAGGGGAGGAGGCGAGGGCAGAGGGGGTCAGAGGACCGAGGAGGGGAGAGGGCAGGGACAAAGAGCGGAGGGGAGGAGGCGAGGGCAGCGGGGCGCGGAGGCGGAGGCGAGAGGGGAGCAGAGGGAAGGCGGGAGACTGCGGGCAGCGCCGGGGGAGAAGGATGTGGGAGGATGGAGCTGCTCACGGCCCGCAGTCCGTGCCTCGCTGCCCGCGTGGGGACCACGCGGTTGGAGAGGCTGCTGGGCACCGGCGCCGGCGATGCTCAGCATGGACCTCCGGCCGGTGCGCTCTCCTGCCCTGCCTTGGGGCTGGGGACTCGGCGGGACTCCAGCTGCTGCAGTCGCTCCGCGGGCTCCCACCCCGGGGGCCGGACCGGCGCGGCCAGAGGCTGGGACACCTGTAGCCCGCGGAGTGCAGCCGGGCCGCGCCTCTGTACCCGGGCACTGCTGTGGGGACACTGGGTGCGGAAAACCGGGCGCCCGGACGTGGGAGAGCCGCATACCTGCTTCTAAAGGCGTGTGCTTCGCTCTGAAGTTTGCGGCGTGATCGGAGACCTGGAGGCCGAGGAGGAAGCTCTTCCCCCACCCCATCTGCCCCGGGATGTGGCGGCGCTCCTGGCCCCGGGGTCATAGCCGCCCTTGACTGGCCGGGCCGCGGGTGCCAGTGACCGGCTGCTGGGTGAAATCCCTAGGGAAGTCTCAGGGCTGCGGATGGGCCTGGGTCTCGGCCGCCACAGGGGTGGATCGGGCTACTGTGTGCACAGGGTGGCCAAGGAGGCAGCAGGTGTGCGGTCATCGGCCTGGCCAGAGTTCTGCGTAGCTGGATGGGGTGTGTGAGCGCGCGGGTGTACATGTGCCTGGGTGTGCGCGGGTGTACATCCACACCTGACTGAGCGTGTGCGAGTACATGCTGTGAGCCCGTAGGACTGCGCGCGTGGGAGTGCATGTTTGCACATGTGTGTGCGTGTGGCCCTCCCTGTCCCTGGCTGCTCTCCCATCACTCACCTTCTGTAGGTCCTGGGCCTTCAGCCGCTCTTTGGTTCCAGTGTCCTTCATAGCCAGCTTAGCTTGACATTGCCTCTTTTGCACACTTTGGAGAGGGGAATGAATGGGGGAAATGGTGTCTTGGGCTCTTTCTTTGCCCAGCCTGTCACGAACCTGTGGGTACCCAGGGAGAGCTCTCAGCAGGCGCCCTGCTAGGGCTGTCCTGAAGCCGCAGAACGCCTGGCTGGGTATGGACATCCCCATTCCATAGCAACACACACTCCCTCTCTTATTCATTTATTTGAAACCATTCTTCAAAGTGCAAATATTTTTACATAAAGACTGGCATTGGGATGGACCTTAAAACACCCGCCACCCTTCCCCTCTGCCAGTGCCTAATAAATGTCTGCCTCAGCTCACACCTCAGGGAGCTTACACTTACCTGGAAGGGGGGTTGGGCGGTGCATGGAAGTATCCAAAATCTCCTACCGGCAGAATTTCCCTTGTCCTGAGTACACTGCATGCTTGATAAATGGGGATCTCTACGTACTTCTAATTGTGTCCAGTGTAACATGAAAGGGAGTGAGATTTTTTCGAGTCTATCACGTGGAGATAACCAGGGGCCCTCTTCTATAAGTTCAAACAAATGGAAAAAAAGAAGAATGGCTGATGTAAAAGGATTCACTCTTAGAGAGTACTTAGAAAGAGTAAGACCAGAACAATGCTTAATGAGTCTCTTTTCAGTGTGAAGAAAGAAACAACATTCTTTAAAATGACTAGTGTTTCCTAGTTCCTCTAGCTGTGCATGGACTTCAGCACTCATCCTGCAGTATGAATGTCTCCAGGTAACACAGAGGGGTGGTCGAGTCCAGGCTATAAAGGCCAGATTGGCAGCCGAGATGAACAACACACGAGTGGACCGAGTTTAAGACTGGCCATCGAACATGGTGGCAGTAACTCGCAGCTGCCTGTCAGTCTCAGAGAGGGATGGAGAGAGAGGGGAGGGGCCCGGGCAAACTGGAGCAAACATGTCTGCCTTAAAAGGGACTCTTGGCACTGACTGGCCAGTGCATGGGGTGCTGCCATACAGTGCTGGGGCCCAGACCTGCCTAATTTTTAAAGGTAAAATGGAAATCTCAATATGTATATGGAGTTCCTTCAATTTAAAGGTGTCCCAGCAAAATAACCCTGAGAACAAATATTGGAAGGGTCAAAACAAATCGCCAGCCTCAAAGTCCTTCACTTTGCAACCCTTCAAGAACGTAGCACTCTTAACTTTGAGGTCAAAGTTTAGGAAAGCAATTTTGTCATCATTTGTTTAGATCCAGGGTCAGAAAACTCACTACTGCCCAAGATCAAATCTGGCCAGCTGACTCATTTTGTAAATAAAGTTTTATTTGTTTGCAGATCGTCTGTGAATGCTTTCACGATGGCAGAGCTGAGTCACTGCAACAGAGACTGTGTGCCCTGCAAAGCCTAAACTATTTACCATCTGGCCCTTCACAGAAAAATTTTGCTGTAAATTATTTAGACCATTCACAGTTAGCACTTGTTTCCTTTCAGACAGAGGTTCTCATTACTTAGGAGGTCATTTTGAATATCAAGTAGATGTTCCAATAGAAAATAAAAAATAATTAAAAATAAAAACGAAGTGCTTCGCAAAGGATCGGTGAGAGAGTATCTCCTAAAGGCTGCCTGCTTTCCCATGCCCAGTGCCCTTTCAACATGAAAGGAGCCAGAGGCCTTTCTCTTGTGGAAACAAATGGCATTTTAGATTATAAGGATGAAATTTTGTCATAACCCTTTTCTAAATTGCATAAACTTTAAACTAAAGCAATGCAAGTGGGCACATTACCTTGTATGTAAAACCACCATCCACACAACTGAAACAGAGAAGAATTGGATGTGTTTGTGTCCTATGAAGATTCTGTTTAGTCTGTAATTTTGTTCCTTCCTCATCGCACACACAGCTGAAACTAGTCAGGTTTCAAAGAAGTTAGCGTCGTATTGTGCATCAACACTTTTCTTTAGTGGCAAAAATTACAATGATTGTATGAAAAATTGTTGTAGTTCATATTCTTTTCTGAAAGATTAGGGTCATTCTTTATTACTTTATACAAATTATAAGGCCACAATGTCATTAAAACACCAACACAATAATGTCAAATAACTTTCCAGCTTGGAGGCCTATGAGTGGCTCTAGTCCTTCTTTGCAGATTGCAACTGAGAAAGGCAAGCCCCAGGAAGGTCAAGCAGGTCTGCTGACCCACCGCAGGGCCAAAGCGCTCAGGCCTCATACACTTACTCCTTCCCAGCCCTGCTCTTGGCCCCTCTGCAATAAGATGATTTATAGACCGGAAGTAGTGAGGCGCTGCACTCTCTCCCGGTGCTGACAGTACTCCGACAATGTGAGAAAGTCACATGGTTAAAACACAAGAAAAGGATATTTTGACAGAAGAAATACGAAATGAATCATATAAAAGGTAGACCTCACTATGAAGTTGGACTGAGTATAACTTTAGAAATCAGAGGGCGTTGAAGACCTGTGCCTGGGGAATGGTTGGCAACACTTGACCCAGCCCCCTGTATTTCCACAAGATCCTTTGGCCAAGTTCTAACTGAACCTGAGCATCTCAGCTCCTCAGTGCTAATAGGATTAGAATCCTTCCCTCCACGGGCCAAACACGTCCTCCAAATGCCTAGGCAGTAACGAGATCGCGTCAGCCCGCGGTTTATACGAAGATTCTGTTCGTGACTGCACTCTGGTCTCTGTCGTCCTCCCTTACTTTGAGACTGGACTGTTTTTAGTAAAAAGAAGAAAAGAAAATTGGAAACCAATGATGATCACAATATGGCATTTATAAGCTCCTTTCCTTTTATTATTTAACACAGAAAAATTCAGGTTAAATAGTAATAATGTATCTAATTATACAATAATTATGTATTTTTTCTAATAATAAGTGAAATATTTGTTATTATTTTATTATTATTGCTATTGGTATTTCATACCACCTCTTGCCGTGAGGCCCCTCACTCTTCCCCAGTGCTGAAACTGCACAGAGAAGGTCAGTTACTCAGACACCTCCGGAAATAAGTCCGAGCACTTTTTCCTGAAGACGTCTGATTCATAATAACACTGGCTTCTGCTAAATATACTTTCTTCTAATGGGTACAAAGGCTGCATAATTGTCAGAGCCTGATGTATCAGTTAGCTATCGATGCTTGAATGCTATCGTGTTTTGGCTTAACTTTTAGTTTGACTGTGACTGGCAATTTACAATTTCTTGGTATTTCTTTTCTCCTGGTATGGAGATTGGTTCCACGCTAGTTTCCTTGTACCAGGTTTGGTCCTGGCTTTAAGAGTCAATATTTTGTGTGTTTGCTGTTTATATTTGTATTATTTTCATTCTTACACTACTTTAAAGATCACCTTGAGACTGGGTAATTTTAAAGAAAAGAGGTTTAATGGGCTTACTGTTCTGCAGGTTGCATAGGCTTCTGCTTCCAGGGCAGCCTCAGGAAACTTACAATCATGGTGGAAGGTGAAGAGGAAGGAGGCACATCTTACATGGAGGGAACAGGAAAAAGAAGAGAGAAGTGGGAGGTGCTATACACTTTCAAACAACCAGATATCATGAGAACTGTATCACCAGAACAGCAAAGGGAATGTCCCCACCTCACCATGACTCAGTCACCTCCCACCAGGCCCCTCCTCCAACACTGGGAATTATGACTCCGCACAAGATCTGGGTGGGGACACACAGCCAAACGATATCACTATTTATATGTTTCTTTAGACATCTTCTATCTGCACCCCAAATTAGAAATATTTTCCAAAATTAATATTCTCAGTTTCTTCTGAATGTATTTATTATTTTAATACATTTGCAAAATTATAGATTTAAACTGCTATTTATTTTCTTACAAGGTATGAAGTAGTGATCTAATTTTCAGGGTTTTAAAAGATT